AATTTTTAAAAGACAAGAGTGGTCTTTTACTCATTTGGAGACTTGTTGTATCCTATTACAGATAGCATGAACTATCTTTAAGACTTTTATTTGAAAAAATTAACAACAGAGAGTTTCAGTCTCATTTTTGAATGACGAGCCATGCCTGGTGAGTGTCCTGCATCGTCCCTCTTATTTACATGAGAGGGGATTTCCCAGAATTTCCCTCCCTTCAGATCGAAAGCATTTAAAATGGAAAAGGCAGTTAAATTACAAGTCCTGAATGTTTGAGAAAACTCATATTTTTCACCTGTGAAACAGCCAGTAATTTCATTAAAAGAATGAGTGAAGACAGCATCCTTTAATCGCAGAAAGACCTTACTGTTGTGTAGAAGTTTCATTCTAAGTATGACAGCCCTATCATGGAGTATGGTAGACAAACGTGTCATACACCACATGTTACAGCTGATCAATGTGTTTCTATCCACCTGACTAATACTTTCTACTTACAATATCCTTTTAGTCAATATTTACAAAATGATACACAACTGTATATAAAACAATCCCAGGCAAGAAAGATATAGGATTGAAGCATTTTATATAATATGTAATATATTCATATTATATTTACAATGTTTGCTATATTTATGTACCAATATTAACATATTTATGTATGCATTATCTATATAGAAGATGCCTATGTACCTGGTATTAAGAAATTTTGTAAACCTTTTTTGAAAACATTTAAAAAGATTTTTTGAAGTTATATAATTATATTTTTTCTCCCTTCCCTTTTCTTCCTCCAAACAATCCCATATACCCTTCTTTCTCTCTTTCAGTAGCACATTCTCTTTTTTCATTGCTACATATACAGATGTATATGTATGTATATAAACTCATATAGTATATATTCCTAACTATATGTGTCTGGGTGTTTTGCTTGCAAGAAGGCATGCATACCACCTGTATGAATTGTCTTTAGAGAAGGCCAGACAAGACTGCAGGAACCCCTAGAGCTGGAATTGTCGAACAGTTATTAGCCACCATGCGATGCTGATTCTGAATCCAGGTCCTCTGCACGACCAGCCAATGTCCCTAACTACTACTGAGCCAGGTATTAAGTCCCTCTTCCCATATTTGTAAAGATTTTCCATGAACCAATTATGAAGACTTTCTTTAATGTGTTTTGATAATATTACCTTACTTGAAATTTATTTTTATTATATTGAAATCATAAACAGTTTATTTGTAAAAGTGATAAAAATGCTTAACGCATATTGTATAAGATACAACTCTTAAAAATACTAATCTGATGAAGAAAGTGTTCATTCTTGCTAACCTTAACTCTTTAAGCTCCATTTCAACTGTGCATAACTTTTAGCAAAAACTTAAGAATAAACCATTTTAAAATCAAAGAAATATAATTTAAAATAGATATATAGAATCATTTATAAACATTAAATAAACTTATTATATATAAAAATTAAATGGTAACCTTTAAGAAAGACTTTCAACCTGTCTTCAGATCTCACTGGAAGTTTAAAATATATTTATGTATTAAAATATGTAATTATAAATAAATATGTCTTTAATTATATTCATGTCAATATATTATATTCTTTCCAGAGGATTAATTCTTTGCTCTAGGCTTATAAAAACTTGGCATATTTCATCAAAAGGGTATATGTATTCATTGCCATTAGTATTTTAACACATTGCTACATATTATGTTGACCAAATACTCTTGAATATCTTTTCAGTTTTTTAATAGTTTGAGTGAAGAAATGTTATTGAATGCATGTGTATTGGTTTATCAGTTCTGAAAATGAACAATTATGAATATTCAGCTTTGAAAAACCCATTGAGAACCTCAGGATGTAGTAAGATAGTTTCCATACTTCTGCAGGTATTAAATATTATCACCTTATTTTTTCAAACATGAATATTTAATTTTGAAAAACATAAACTGTATTATTTAAATTATATTAATGCTTACTGGTTTCTAAAGTGAAGTTTTAAATTGGTCATTTAGTGATAAATGGTCAATTCATTATATACCAAATGAACAAGTTTACTTAGGAATAAATATGTATATATGAATACATTTATGAGGGCTATAACATCTGGAAATCAGGTCATGAATCTGAAGAACAGAGAGAGATTGATGGACAGGTTTAAAGGGAGAAAACGTAAAGGAGAAATGTAATTATATTATTATCCAAAACCAAAAATAAACACAATAACAAATCACACTGAATCTAAATAAGGTAGTCCAGGTCCCTTAGTTTTACTTATTATTTTTTGGACTACATGCTATGGAAAATTGCCCACTAGTATGTTCAGTGGAAGATATGAAATAAGAGTGTCATACAGGACGATCCATGCTGCTTCAAATGGATGAAAGGCGGAATGTGATTGTGTTCAAAATCAATGATTATCAGGCTAAAGAATTCATGAATCTTATAGCTGGAGAATATTCAGCGCATAACTATGTCAACACTTTTGTGGTGAATTTTCCATATATTTCTGTGAGATCATTTTGGTACATGGTGTGCACATCTACCATTGTTAACATCTATTTGCAATGTAAGCTATTGGGCATTTTGAAGGCTGATTATTAAAATCTTATCTTTCTATTGTGGCATTTATTTAAAAAACTTTTAGTTTGCATTTTATATTGAGATATACTCATATTTGAAGCACAGGTATCTGTAACTTAATGACGTTTGACTCCTTTTAGGCAACTTTTTAGAGCGATTCTAATAGATCCCCCAAGCAAGATAGTCTTGTGTAGCTACACTTGCTCCTTCTGGCCATTCACCTCAGCTGCAGTTGTATGATTTTTTTTATAGATGGGATGTCTTGCAATCTTGCCAAAGATGTCATACAATATTACCTTGTGCATTGCTTCTGCTTACTATATTGCCATTTAAATTCCAACATTGTTTTTATATTTAAAATATATAAATAGAGTTTTTAAAATCTCTGCAAGGATATTGACAATTTACATTTATACTTGTAGGCTACACCTGGTAACAACAGCTGGGTCTAGCTTCTCAATAACGTGTGGAGTTTCAACATAATATCACCCTGTACTTTGTCCAAAATATAATGCTATATAATTATCCTGAGTGGCCATCGTGGACTTTTGTGAAAGAATGCACTTTGTAGGTGACCAGACTTCCTTTTCTGTAGCCATAATAACATTATGGATGTTCCTGACTGATCTGATGCTCAGTTACTCCTTCCAAATTGCCATCTTACTCTGCTGCCAAAGGTGACACTGAACACACCATAGACTCCAGTTTTGCTCATCCATTGCAAGGTGGGTCATCTTCTGATAAAACCTGCATCTTTTGCATTTCAGTCAGTTATTTGTTAGCTGTTGTATTCTTTAACTGACTTTTAGGTTTTAATTTCAATGCTTGCTTTACTATTGCTCTAAACTAATTTGTGGGGATTTTAGACTATCGTCTTGATAGACCCTTGTTAAATATAATAGAGATATGCTGATACATTCAATAGATGTCATAAAAATATATATTTTGGAAGAATAGTTTTCCTGTCTTTGCATCTTAAAGAAATGATTTACTACGATTTTGGGAAATGAAATAAATTATGTAAATAATGATTAAAGTAGTTAATGCTTACTACTGTGACTAAGTAAAGGCAAATTTTGTACATTTCATGCTGTTAGTATTTTGACATTTCTAACGCATCATATGCTTTAAAGAAAAAGTGATCTATAGCTAATTCACCACTTGCCATTCCATTGTTACCTGCTTTATGTCTGTTTTCTTGCTGTTTTGTTTTTAATTAACCAATGTTTCATATCTAAGTAGTATCTTTGGTGGTCACCATGACATTTGATAAAAGTTGTTACATTATTTTATTAATCTGAGAAAAGCTTACCTTTAAATGACATGGGCATAAAATTATGCACTTTAACACCCCTGTACACAAGTATAAAATTTAGAACTTAATTTTTCATATTGTACATTATTTAGGGAATATAACAGTATGCTGATCACTATTGGGAGAACATGGTATGACATTTAATTCTGTAGATTGCTGTCCAATCAAGCTTGGAGCCCCAACTCCCATGGACATAAAAGCTTTCATGCATGGTATCATGTTTAGTTTTATGTATAAATTTGTTTTTGCTCCAGTACCCAGCTAGCCAAGTAATATTCCAAATGTTGGTGTGGATATGTATATAGATATTGTTCACATTCTAAATACTTTGTTTTAAGAAATCGAGATTATCATCTTTAGTATGAGCGAATCTCATGAAAACCTAAGGTTTCACCAAGAAGAGAAAATTCTTCCTTAAGCCGGCAAGTTAAACTGTGCCTGAGTTTCCAGGCAAACGACCTATTCTGAAGGTCTCAGACATTCTAAAAACTGAGATATTTTCTTAAACATTCTCTTCTTCGGTGTTCATTCTCTCTCTCTTGCAACCTCTTCTCTTATGGCCACGCATCTCATCTCCGCTCTCTCTCCCCATTCCTCCTGATATATGTGTGTGTGTGTGTCTGTTGTGTGTGTGTGTTTATGTGTATGTATATAGATAATCATAGAATATAAATGCACTTTATATGTAAATAAATATATGACAATAAATATAAAATCACCATTTTAAAAATATATCCCACGCGTTGATTTTCTCTTGCCATTCCTAAAAATACAGGTAGTTTACCTGGAAAGAGAAACTTGCCATATGTAATTGATTTAATATTTGTTGTTAATAGAGTTAGGAAACATTATTATGGAAACTATTTCAAAGTACTTAACATCATACTGTAAAACTAGGCAGACTGTGCTATCTTTGTGTGTTAACAAATATGCATGATAAAAACATATGCAAATCAAAGAAATAAATGCTTGACTTTTAATGCATAAAGTCAGTTTTAGAAAATAGAAGTAAAGGGCATTATAAGAAATGTTAGTGATCTATCAATTATTTTAGGTTACTCTCTGTCATTGCTTTTCTTTTACAGATAAATTTGTACTTTGAGACCATGACCAATTCCACCCTGGTGACTGAGTTTCTCCTGGAGGTTTTTGCTGAAACTTATGAGCTCAGGCTCCTACTCAGTGTCCTGTTCCTTCTGGTGTACCTGGGCAGCCTGTTAGGGAACCTTACCATTGTCATTGCTACCACAGTTGACCAGACCCTGAACACACCCATGTACTTCTTCCTCAGGAACCTATCCATCTTAGACATATGCTATGTTTCTGTCACTGTCCCCAATGCCTGTGTCAATTCTCTCACTGGCCACAGAAATATCTCTGTGCTTGGCTGTGCAGCGCAGATCTTTTTGGTCTTCTTTTGCGCATGTGTAGAGATTCTCTTTCTTGCTGTCATGGCTCATGACCGCTATGTTGCTATCTGTAAGCCTCTCCTCTATCCTGTGATCATGAACCACCAAGTCTGTGTTCAGAGGACACTAGCCTCCCTACTTAGTTCTCTTGTCATTGCAGGTGTACACACTATCAAAACCGTCCAGTTGTCTTTCTGTCAGTCTAATTTGATCCCACAGTTCTTCTGTGATATCCCTTCTTTACTGAGACTTTCCTGTTCAGACACCTTTAATAACAAACTCTTAATTCTTCTGTCTGCCATTGGGATCAGTGGCAGCTGCTTTGTCTTAATTGCTGTATCATATATTCACATATTATCAACTGTGTTGAGGGTTCCTGTTAAAGGGGAGCAAGGTAAGGCCTTTTCCACCTGTGTCCCTCATATTGTTGTGGTGTCTTTGTTCCTTACTTCTGGTGCCTATGTGTATCTAAGAACTCCAGTAACCTCAGAAGTAGTTCAGGAGATGACTCTTTCTGTATTATATTCCATTGTTCCACCCTTCTTAAACCCTATCATCTATAGTCTTAGAAACAAACAGATAAAGGAGGCTGTGAGGAAAATAACATTAAAGATATTTTTTTCAGAGTTGAACATAAAAAGAAATTATAAAGGTCAGGGTTTTCTAGAGAAAAATAAACAAACACACGCATACTAAAAAGAAATTGTTTTTACATAATATATTCTGATTATAGTTATTCCTTCTTCTTCTCCTCCTAGTTCCTCCTCACCTGTCCTTCCATCTGGATTCACCCCCTTCCTATCGCTCATTAGAAAACAAACAGGCTTCTAAAAGTTAATAATAAAATAAAATGAAATAAAGTATTATAAGATAAGACAAAGCCAGTACATCAGAACAACCCAAAATGAAGAAACAGATGGAAAAGGGATGAAGAAAAAGGCCCAAAAATAGATGTAGAGTCCCACTCATTCAAACACTGAAAAAGCCCATAAAAATACTAAATTGAAAGCAATGATATATATGCAGAAGACTAGTATAGTAAAAAGAGGGTGAAAGAAATCTATATAGTATATATTGAAAATAAGATTTAAAAAAATAGCCCTGAAATGAAATTATGAGGCAAGGATTCTCTAATTAAATCATTGAGTTTGTTTTCTCTTGATCATTGTGCAGTCCACTCTTAAGAATAGTTTGTTTACCCAGTGAGACTCCTTTGGATGAAACTAACTTTGCACTTGAAAGTGGTTATCAAATAGAGATTGTTTCTGAATTAGAGAAAGGGGTATGTGTCCACTTCTTCTTTCAGCTCGAGTTCTCCATCTAATGAGACACATGTAGGCCTGTGCATGCTGCCTCAGTCTCTGTGACTTCATATGTGCACAGATTGTGATGACTTAGAGGACCTTGTTTTCTTGCTTTCCTCATTCATCTCTGATTCATACTCTCCCAGATTCCTTTGTACAAGGCTACTTGAGCCCATAGGGCAAGGATTTTTAGGAGGCATCCCATTTAGGGCTGACTGCTCTAAGGTCTCTGTTCTTTCACTCTCTGCATAATGTCTGGCAGTGAGTCTCTGCATTTGGTCCCATTTACTACAGGAGGAAATTTCTCTAATGGTGATTGAACAAGACACTGGTTGTTTTTACGTTTTTAAATTTAATTTATTTAAAACAGTAGCATTTGGTTTTACTCTAGGTCCCAGGGCTATCTAGTCTCAGGGTCTTGGTCACCAAGGCAGTGGTGTATATGGGTTCCAGCTTGAGGTGTAGATCTTAACTCAAATCAGACAAACTTTGAGTCATCACTGTACTAGTATTCTACAGGCCAGGACACAACTGTATATCTAAGCATTTGTGGTTAGATTGGGGTTTACATTTCTACATGTAAAGAATTTTCTTGTACAAGCACAATAGAATATAAGAGTTAAGGCACTCTGTAGACACCAGTATGAGTTCTTCACCTTCAGTGAAAGGTGAGAAATATTATTGATTTTTGTGAGTTAATTTTGTGTCAACTCCATTGCTGAAGTGTGTACCAGCAATAGGGGTTTCCAAACAGAATCCTTAGGGTCACTTACATATACTATCTTATCATATATAAATGATTATACTTTGATTTTTTTCTTCCAATTTGTATATATTTGTTCAACTTTAGCTGTGTTATTGATCTATTTCAGACTTCAAGTAATACATTAAATAGATAAGGAGAGTGTGGACAACATTGTCTTGTTCCTTACTTAAGTGGAATTGCTTTGAATTTCTCTTCATGTAATCCGATGCTGGCTTTAGACTACTTGGAAACAATCTTTAGTATATTGAGGTATGTTCTTTGTATTCCTAATCTCTCCAGAACTTTTATCATTTAAAAGCCATTTCTTCAAAGTCCTTTTCTGCACTTAATGAGATGATCATGTATGTTTTGCCTTTCAGTCTGTTTATATGATATGTTACAATTATTAATGTATATATGTTGAACCATCCCTGCATCTCTAGAATAAAGCCTATTTAATTATGGTAGATTACCTTTTAGATGTGTTCTTAGATTTAGTTTGTTAGTATTTTTTTGAGAATATTTGAATCAATGTTGATAAGGGAAACTGGTCTGTTATTCTCTTTCTTTATTTGTTCTTTATTTGGTTCCCATGTCTGGGAAGCTGTAGTCTTTGTAAAACAAATTGAACAATGGTCCTTCTTTTTCTATTTTGTGACCTAACTTGGCAAATATCTTCTTTGAAAGTGTGGTAGAATAAGGCAATAAAATCACCTGGTCCTGGACTTAGTTGACTTTCTATGATTTTAATGTCTACTTCTTATTCACTAGAGGTTATGGATATGTTTAAGTTGCTTATATGATGCTGATTTATCTATGGTAAATGTTACCTATAAAGAAAATTATCCATTTCTTTTAGATTTTTTGGTTTGGTGGAATACAGGTTTTTAAAGGATGTCTTATGAATCTCTCAGTGTCTTTTCTAATTTTCATTTCTGATTTTGCTAATTTGTATATTCTGGACTTTAGGTAATTTGAGTGAGGGTTTGTCAATCCTATTGATTTTCTCAAAAAATTGTTTGTTTCATTGATTCTTTGTATTGCTTTATTTTGTTGATTTAAACCCCAATTTTGATTATTTCTTGCCATTTACTCCTTCAGGTGTGCTGTTAAGTTACTAGTATGATCTCTCTCTCTCTCTCTCTCTCTCTCTCTCTTTCTCACTCGCTTGCTTTCTCTCTCTAATATGGGTACCTTGTCTCTTAGAATTGCCTTGAATAGGAAAAATAATTAAAATCAAAGCAAAAAATGGATAAAGGAAAACATGGACTCTGATTGCTTTGGCCAACTACTCCTGGACCTGTGGCCTGCCCTGGAGTATGATTGATAGACTCAGTGACATGGTATTGGAGCAAACTGATTTTCCCTTCTTAGCAGGTATCAATTGCAAATAAATATCTCCTTGGTTACAGATGGGTCTTTGTTTTCACATTCTCTGCTCCCATCTGGGAGATATTTGCCTTGGACATGTGCAGGGCTTTTGCATGCTAACACAATTCCACATTTTTGCCTTATTAGTATTTTTGCTTGTTTGTTTGTTTTGAATTTTGGTTTGGGAATTTATTTCTATTTTTTTTTGAGAGAGAGAGCATCCATGAAGTTGGATGGGTAGAAAGGTGATGAGTATCTGGGAAGATAGAGATAGTCAGTATAGTGACTTATAGCTTGTATACATATCTAAACATCCCTTTACTTTTCTGATGCCAGTGATACAAAGAATCAATACTGACATAACTTGTGATTCTTTCTGATGTCTCTGCTTGTTCAGATAACTATGCGATTTTTTTCTTTGTTCAACCCTTACTGATAAATATGACATTACTCCAGTTTGTGTAGTGCCATAAGAAATCTGATGAATTACAGGAATAATTCAAAGGCAAATAGAAAAGACGAGCACTGCAAAATACAAATGTTTGATTAATAATTGTACATGTATGCTGTACATAGTATTAGTAAAAATAAAATGTTTATTAAGTCTATAAATAGTTATGTTTTATAATACAGAGTAATGAGGTTTACTAGAACTATGGAAAGACAAGAAATCATCAGTTACTGTGTCTTTTTGTAAATTGCTTTTATTGAGCTATATATTTTTCACTGCTTTCCTCTTTTCCTCTCCCCTACCCTTCAACCCTCTCCCATGGTCCCCATGCCCCCAATTTACTCAAGAGATCTTGCATTTTTCTACTTCCAACATAGATTAGATCCATGTATGTCTCTCTTAGGGTTCTCTTTGTTGTCCAGGTTCTCTGTGATTATGAATTGTAGGATGTCTAAAAGACACTTATGAGTGAGTACATATTATATTTGTCTTTCGGGCTCTGGGTTACTTCGTTCAATATGATGTTACCTAGATCCATCCATTTTCCTGCAAATTTCAAGATGTCATTATTTTTTTCTGCTGTGTAGTACTCCATTGTGCAAATGTACCACATTTTCCTTATCCATTCTTTGGTAGGGTAGGGTGCATTTAGGTGGTTTCCAGGTTCCAGTTATGACAAATAATGCTGATATGAACATAGCTGAGCACATGCCCTTGTGGTATGATTTCAGCTACTGTGTCTTAAATGAACCTTTGAGGTTTGATGGCCAGGCAACACCTAAGCCTATGGGCAGAGCACCCTTGTACACTGTCACAGGTGTGACATGAACTAGTGCTGGTTTACATTGAAATGACTGAGTTAGATGCTGTATTAGATTTCTGATAATTATCTGATGATGCCAGGTAAATGAGTTGTTATATTCAGTTGTTCACCTTAGTTTTAATCACTTAACCATTGAACTTCAAATTTCATAAATAAATTCCACAATTATAAAATAAAATTTTCCATTTTTCTTTTTTGATCCATAAGGAAAAATAAAAGAAATATATGCATATATACACATACAGATATTACACATAACCATAAAATGTCATATATTTATTTTTCTATATAGGTTCTTCCAATAATATTATACCTACCAAATATGGACTCTCTGAAGTACCCTTAGGCTACTTCTCTCAAAGTCTCTGCTGCAGCTTGCACCGTGAAGGCTGCAATAGAAATCTGTCTCTTCACTTCTCTCCAGGCTTTAGAAGGGTCTGCTTTGCTCTCAATATCAAAAAGAGCATCATAAATGCCTGGGAATGACTCTCCTGCATACTTGTTGTGGCTGCTTGGAGCGTAGATGATATGCCTGTTTTAAAAAACAGATTTCTGTCCATTCGTTGCACAAACAATATGCAAGAGAATGAGGGCATTATATTCAAACTGCATACTCCTTATTTTCTTACTTATTCACTTGTTACCTAAACTTTTATAATCCTCAGGCACATTGATTTTTTCTTTTAATGGACAACTCAAAGTGCTTCAGAGCTAAACAAATAACAGTAAGGATAGCCATTGAGAACTGTTTTAAGGTTTTAAAATGGTGACGTACACCTTTTATAATCACTGAAAATAAACTGTATAATGTTGATAACAGTGTTCTCAGAGGAGAAAAATCATCTGAGAAGAAAATAATTGATAAATGAAGTAGTCTCCAAGTGCATTGCCAGTACGTGATGAACTTTACATTATCCTCCTTGTTAAGACACA